GCTCCAGAGATGTCTTAAAGGGACCTCAACTTACAGCAACACAGTTCACAGGCTAGGCATCCCATAGGTAGTGTAGCCTGTAAATTGGGGGAGTAGTTATCCCCTGGGGATAAGGTAATTTCACTGATATCATCTATTTTTCCAATATCACAGCTCTCCAAACACTGTGGGGATGAGGAGTCTATGCAGTTCCACCGTGAGCCGCAATCCATGGGTTGTTGCTCCACAGTTGGGATCTCCCATATGATTGAGCTCTGTTTATCCTCACCATGGGGATTGGTGGCCAAGACACTTGTCCCAAAACAGATAGCTAATATTAAACTAGTCCACACACTGAAGCCTGAATGAACTGACAGCCCGGCTGCCATCAACCCACTGATGAAAGCTTCCTCTACCAGAGCCGATTATCCCACCCAAGGAAGTAGAATCACAAATTTATTTCAGTACTCAGATTGACATAAATAGATGAGGTCTCTTAAATTGTCATTGGCAAAGAAGAAATCTTCCAGCTTTAGCCCTACAGGGGCAACATATTTGGGGGTCATTACAGATACAGAAGCACACTTACCAGATAAACAGAGTGTACACTTACTCAGAAAATTGGCCAAACTAAAGGCTTAGACTCTCTAGTGAATCCTGGGTGAAGGAGCTGGGACCAGAGGAGCAGCAGCCTCAAGAGTTGTAAAGGGGAAAGGACCCTCTTGGATCACTTAGAGGCCTCCCTAGTTTGGGCAGTCATGGGGCCTCCCAGCTGGCAGGGAAAGTTTCCCAACTGGAGTTTCTCAGCTTAGCAGAAGGCTCCCTCAATTGTCCCTTCTGTGTTCACCAATGTTGCAGGGTGGGCACAGAGAGGGCCTTTATTACCCAGTGGCTGTTGCCACATTACAGAAAACAGGTGGAGTAGAAAGATTCTCTAAGTTTTCTTTTCACGTTCATGGGGAAGCGGGGATGGTGGAGGTGGTGGACTCGTCCTCCAAATGTCCATCTCTCTTTTTGTTCTTACAGATACATATACAGGCTGAGTGAAACAGTTTTTCAAACAGACACAAATCTTGGAATGATGGGCACAAACTGGGAAAACAAGGTTTTGTTTTAACAAAGACCTTGTTACCAAGCCTGCATTACTGGATACTTTATCTCCAGGAGACAAGCAGGGAGAGTACGCAGGTCCTAGCTCTCATTGAGTGGGGAGCAACAGTCTGGGGAGAGTTATCACATTCAGATAAGAATTAGGTGTTTGACTTAGCTAGTGTCTTTGAGAATGTGTGGGACACAATCACAGGATATTCCGTGAGACAAGTTAGTGGCTCCAGGAGGATTTGCAGTTATGTTGCACAAACTCTATGCTTATCTTAACTAAGATTCTCCCAAAACTATGTTATATTTCTATCGTAAAATAATCGGGTTAGACTCTTCAAGCTCCCTCTATCCCTTTGTCAGTTGTATGTTGCAATTTGGCGGTTAACATTGTATTCACCATCCACTTTGTGATGTGATGTGGTCAGTGTTTTCACATAGTGCCAATTTTCCCAGAATTAACCTGGCCTTTGAAACCTAGCCATGTCAGTAAGTCAGTGTACTTTAAAAAATCTTTCCAACTTTAAAATTAATTTTATTAACATTGTATTGTTTTTATAAAGCCATCACATCCTTCTGTTTTATAGTCAAACCATGATGAAGTTCCAAACATATGTGTGTAATTGTGTGATAAACCTTAGCAAACCTACAACTTGGTCATAACACCCAGGCTTTGTGTGTGTGTGTGTGTGTGTGTTTGTGCTGCAGTGGGGGCTGGGGAGGGGAAGCATGCAGGGAGTCGGGTCAAAAGCAGTGTCAGGAAGTGGGAACCCTACCTGTGTTTAAAGTTTATACTGTTTCCCTTGTTTTCTCCCCAAAAGGGTTAGGGAAGTTGGGTGTATCACGTAAAAGAAGTTTTAAGAAGGCTAAGGCATTTTTAAATGGTATGTGATTGATCAAAAGCTTTGTTTTGTCATTAGATTGCATCTGATCCCTGACGGAAAGCACAACCTGCATTTACAGTTTGCAAATGAATTCAACCACTTAGTGGAAGACTTCCTGCAGCCTTGATTCTGGGGCTTGGGGTCTTCTGTTTGTGAATGATCCTCGCCTTTGAAATCTCACACAAGTCCTAGCTCAGTTCATCTGCCTTCCTGGAATCTCCTGCAAACTCCTACTGATCAAATGTGAATTGCTGTAAATCAGAATAATGGCATATTGAAAACACTAAAATTTTTATAGTTACAGAAATTATGTCTGATTTTTAATTTGGCAGTTTATAGCACTGTCTTAAAAAAAATTCCTACCTTGATGTTTTACTTTCAAATAAACATTTAGGTCAAGCATTTGTTGTGTCGATGATTGCTACGTATACTATTATTTACACATCTTGAATGTAAATGAGAATTACAAGCATTATCTTTTTATATATAATATATATAAAATATATACATATTATATATATATATCT